TTATTTTTCTATTTCAAGATCTTACTATTGATATTTAACTCAAAAGTCATATTCATATGCTCTTAAATTGATTTATCTATTTTATGGTTGGATATTGTGGCGACAGGGAACATGATTTTTTTTTTGCATATGCAACAAAATAGAAAGAACACCAAAACACTTTTTATATTACTTAAAAAGAAACAGTGAACATTCTCTTGAACATGAATATGTGTTTGAAATATCATTAAATATAAACATACCTTTATACACGCTCATTGATAAAATGAGATAGTAAATCAAATATTCCATTTTGTCAATGCATACATTTCTTGTATTTCTTTAAAATTTTACACAAACAGCTTTAATCTGAATGGATTTTAAAATAAACTTAATAATTCAACTATTTGTAACAACCTTTATGCAACCCGTGGTTTATGAAAAAGTAAATGGTTGCACTTCAATATGACCAAAATAATCATGTGTTAAATATACAGAAACAGGAAGTATATACAACTAAATGTTTAAAACATTTGCATTTACTTATCGGCGTTCCGTTTACAGTCAACAATAAATTTGCTAATTTAAAGAAAAATGTATATAAGTGTACGTGTTCTATGCCTGCATTTAAACACATTGTGTGTTTAATGAATAATTCTAACTTAATTTTGCTATCAAAGGCTTTACATATACATATGTAAATCTCATGGCCTTTATACCATAAAGATATTTTCAATTTTTAAAGCTTTAAAAATATGCATAATTGTTAGTGTAGTTACATTTCATAATACCTTTTATGTGACGGATTGAAGTCATTAAGAATAATTTAGCTGGTATGCTAATGTCCTTTAATACAAAATAGTGGTTTATGTTTGTACTAACTAGCATCCCCTTTAGAAAGAACATTCAAGTACTGGCATTCGGAAAACTATTTTTGATTGCCTTTACGGAGTTGTGGCGACATATAGGGATCGCTTCTCCGTCGTCCGTCAGTCCGTCCGTCTGTTCGTCGTCACAAAAAGCGTTCGGACTACTCCCAATAAACTACTTGTGCAATTTCATCTACTCTTTACAGGAATGATCATTACAAAGTCTAGTGGTGCATATTGTCTGCATTTTCTTGGTCAATAATTTTGGTCAGAGTTAAGGTTTTTTAGAATTTTTAAGTTTTTTCCGGACTTCTCCTCCTATACCACTTATGATAATTCAAGAGATTTGAAGCTTAAATCGTTGCGCAAATTGCACATTTTTTTCTGTTGAATGATTTAAGTTGAGTCATGGCCCTTGAATAAAATGGTGTTTTTTTTGTGTTTGTTGTTTGTTGTCAGATACACAAAAGCTAGTCCGGAATACTTCTGAAAAACTACTAGTGCAATTCCAACCAAATTATTCAAATTTTATTAGTACTAAGTCTTTTTGTGTATATCATCGGCTTTTTATGGTTAAATGAATTTACGGAATTGGTCGGTAGCACAAGTTCTTGCGCATATTGCATGGGTTTTCCGGTGGAATGATTTTTGTCTTAGTATGTCCCTTGAATAAAAACACATCTCTGAGCGATATTGTTCTGTAATAAGACAACATTTAACCTGACAATCTACAACTGTAGAAAAAAATGTTTAACTATATTATGTTTTGACAAAATAACTGTTGTTTCAACCGAATGTAACAATATTTTTTATCAAAGACGGCGATCCTTACATCAATACTTTTAGGTTACATTTGCCAATAGGTAAGTAAAAGATGACACACACATTTTTATCTCATGAACAGCCTCAATAAAATACTGTTGGTTTAGTTGGACGGAAGTGTAATGTACAATCAATGATTGACCTTCTATCCTTACTACACGCCTTACCCATGTTACTGATTTTTAACCATTCCCTTGCGATCTTAAATTTGTGAGAGATTTCCCATTTAAAAGAAAATTGATAAACCTTTTGTTAGACATTGCAGATATATCTCTGTTTAAAATGTCATTTCAAACATATTTGTATATATGCTATTTTTCCAAATCTATAAGCTCGTATAGGTTAACATGATATGAAAACATAGTTTGTACAGTTCTTCCACAAATTATACATTTTGTAATAAACTCCTAGAGTTCAGTATATTTCTTGCAAAAGGGTATACCTGAAATAAAAATGTTGATAATATATGTAAGAAGTTGTTATTCTTCTGTAACAACTGCAGTTTGTCTTATTCACTTCATAAAAAGCGAATATGATTAGCATTATGTTAAAGGTATGGTTCTGTTAGACGTTCATAAATCTTTTGATACCGTGGATAAATCAATATCGTTTGTGCAATTGTGTGTTTCGGGTCTTTGAAAAGAAAAACATAATTATGTTACTGACTGGAGCCGTATTTCCGAGACAAAAAAAATATGTTAACGTATTGAACACTTGCTTATCGTCATAAACATAATTTGACAGTTCCCCCAAGAACTCCATCCTTGTCCTTTTCCTTTTTTCAAATTTACATATATTATATGTCAGCAGTGGTAAATCATAAGTTTCTTATGATATTTACTCTTCTATTCGTGTTTCCTGTACAAGATTTTAGTAGTGATCTATGGTTGATTCGTGAATGGCTAATTAACAATATTTTGTCATAGCGCTCAGGTAAAGTAGAGAAATACGGAAGACTGACCCAAAACAAAGATTAAAGTATCAGTCAAGATACAATAGAAAGGCTGTACACTTTACCCCATATATTTACCCGAAACAACGCATTTTCGACCCCCACCTCTCTTCATCTTTTAGGCCTCAAATAGTAAAAAGATGTCGTGTTTTAAGAATTGTTGATAAAAAAGAGAGCACTGTTTTGGCGTCACCCCAATCCAAAAGATACATCAGGGGGTTGCCAAAATGGGGATATGCCCCCTTCTGTTTGGTGGGTTTGAATGGGGGCGGAAGTCCCTCTCATCGCCAAGAAAATTTTGCACTTGCGAGAGGCTAACAAAAACCCCAGGTCGATAATAAGGTAACGTGTAATCAACGCTGAAAACGCTTAGACTCTATCTGAATTCATTGAGAAGTTGCAGCACTTTGAAATAATTTTGTATGGCAAAAGCAATGCAAAATAGTGATTTTTGGCAATTTTGAGATGTCCCCTCGTTGCCATGGTGACAGGAAATTTAAGACTGAGCATGTTGTTACAAAAGCAATGGTCCATTTAACATTTGTGCAAAGATTGATTAGTATTGAAGAAGTTTTTATAGTTTAATAGCAATTTGAACTTGTAACGGGAGACTTTTCAATGGAAACAGCAATTTTTCACAAAATGCTCATGCAGTAATGTGTCAATTCGGTGTCCCTTTGACTTTGTTTTATATTTTGTTTTTGAAATATGATTTTATTCAGATATCATACAATAGTACCACACACGTTGACCTGCTTGAGCTGGTACTTCAAAATTTTCCTTTAAGGCTTTTAGAAATTAAAATGAGATTTTAAATTAAAATGAGATTTATATAAGAAATAATATCGGTCTTAGCGGTGTTTATCGGCTACTTAACACCGGTTTGGAGTATTGATGCGTATCAAATGACCACGACGGCTGATTCTAACACGATAAAATAAGGAAAATCACTAATGTTATTTTTTCAAGCGGAAATAACTTCCGGTGCCAATTTTCGTATTACGCTGTTCGATTTTCGCTCCCTTGCTAAGATATAGAAATTATAAAACAAAAGAAATAATAAGATAAACGTTATTTTATCAAGTTTTCAACAATAAAAACTTATGTCTTAGAATGAATTGTATTGTGTTTATTGGCAGCTTTTTCTTCTTCTTTGTCTACAGTGCGAAATCACGTTGAGTGTTAGAATAATCTTTGCAGCATAATTTTACACTTTATGCATCATGTAGCCACAAAATACGGTGTATGATATTGCTTTTATTTACTGTCTACCTTATTAGCGCTACATAGCTACTTAAGGGAGTCATTGTCAACGGCAATTTGACCATGATTAATTATAGATTTTATAATGATATACAATATTACCAAGTACCTTTTTGATAAAAAAAACATTTTCATCGTCAATGAAATAGTATTCTTCAGATATGTTTCCAGATCAAATATTTGGTTGTTTATAATATAATAAACTTTTTGTACACTTGCTGAAACCTTTGAGTGGTTAAAGTAACAACAAGTAAATAATACAAATTGAAAACTTGAAATGAAAAAAGATATTTCAATATTTTGCATTTTTGGTCTAACCAATTAGAAACAAACATTCTTTAAAATATATCACATCTATTGCTATTTCAGAGAGAATATCTTATTGAAGCAGCGTCCCTTCCTAAGGTTAATTCATTTTAAAACACTGAAATCAAAATTGATGAACATGATCATTAATAAATATACGTTTGTCTTTATTTGTTATCATCAGACACTTGCAGTATTAATAAATATAATATAAATGCACTTAGATGAAGTTAAACTGGGTTTGCTTATCTGTGATATACAGGCTTCATAACCTGTGATCCCCATTCAAATTTGCATTTTATTTAGTTTCGCCTATTTTATTTATTTTATTTCTTTTCGTTTAGGGCACACGCATTTTTTACTTGGGGATTATATGTCATTTTTCATGGAATGACACTCACGTGCTTTATTGAAGGTTCACTGATACTGATAACCGTCATATGAACACATCAGCGGGTGTGTATCAATGTGTATGTAATTTACCCAGCAAGTAAACCTTTAAACATATATTCATACAATAAGAAATGTAGTATGCAATACTCATTGAGTACAGCCAAGCATGTTATTTCACTATATTAAGTATTGGTTTCCAGCTCATTTTACTTTACTGCAGACAATCTATATAGTCATAGTATTTTTAAATCAAATTTTATACATAACTCAAGAATGTCATCATATCATTAGTATCATCAGCATGACAATCAACATGCTACTTCCTCACAATCATCACTAGAATCATCTTTATCAAAGCAATCAACATACTTTTGCTTATCATCAAAATCACCAAAAACATAACTATTACAATTATTAACAGGGCAATTATTATTACGAGATGCAATAATATGACATGATATTGCGATGTAAGGAAGACAAATACAAATACGCTAGTCATAACGTTCGGACATGAATTATCAGAGCTCTTCACACTATAGGACACAAACACTGCTGCTTATTTTAATCCTTTCTGCGACTAAGATCTACATGCTAGCTACCTAGGTTAATCATAAGACAACAATGATTAATTTTCCAGTCTATATTCCAGTACAATACACGAACTGGTGGTCATTCCTTTCCTTTATTATAAACAAACTGTAATCAGTTATATTATCTCTCTTTTTGTTTTCGTTATAAGAAATTATGCATTGATCAAGAACGATAGTTCCATCTGCTCCCTTTCTCATGTTTCCCTTTGTGTCATTATATGTTCAACTTTTGCTGATAACTCTAGCACGTTACAAGAAATTGGTTTGGAACTTTACATAAATTGGAGAAAGGAGAAATGCAGCCAATGGCAATTTTAAAATTATATTGTCTAGATAATCTACTTTTATGGAATTTTCAAAGAAATTTTGTTTGTGATAAGCATACGAGTCAGTAATTCAAAACTATGCAATATACACTTGAAAATGAAAATAAACATAACAAAAATATGATACTTGCAGGTGCAGTGACACAAATGGAAAATGTAGGCAAACTGTTCTTATAATATCCAATATTTTTTCCTCGGACACATCTTTAATCAGCCTTTAGTCTTAACTTATCTGCTCTTCAACAATTACATTCCTCCAACAAGCAAACACATTTGGCGGGGGTGGGGTATACCACAGCATACATTTCTTATTGAAAAGTATTACCTGTTTTAATGCTATTAACATGTTTATCAATATAATATTGTGATGAGCTTCACGTATGGCTTTATTACATCAAACCACAAGGCGATGAAAGGTCGCGTAAAGAAAAATTATAAAATCGCCTATCAAGCATTATATTAAATCTACAGAGAGAAACATGGTGTAATTGAAATCGATGTAAATTCCCATAATTTATCTTTTTATTCCCGTAAAACAATACGAAAATTATCAAAATCAGTGAAAAGAGTGATTCCTCGATACCACAGAAAATGTAACTGTTACAATATTTTATGAAAGTTTCAGACACTGTTTGATTGTGTCTATTCGTGAGAGATAACGAAAAGTGCAACATCTCTCATGCCCATAGGACCTTGCATTTTAAGTATTTTAAATGCCGTTATTTTTTCTGGAATAAATGATATTGGGCAAATATGTTAACATATTTAACGTACAAAATAGGTAATATTCTATGAATCATTTGATATTCTCTTGGCAAATTATAAAAGATATAGTTATAATATTTTTTCATTATCAATACAGATTAGAATCATAATCCATATTTCTACTGTCATATAGCCTATTCAAGATTTAATTTATTGATTTACGGCCAGTTGTCTCTGAAATATTATCGGATTAGTGGTAAGCTACCAGTCGAGTCATTGGTAATTGACTTAGCTACATGTTATGTGCATCGACCATCGAGAAGTAATCGAAAATGTGTAAATGTTATTGACATAAAAATAAGAAAAGTGATGAAAGTGATTTTCCTGTGTGTTTTGACGGGCGGCTCGACTTGTTATATTTTCATATTGATATATATGGCGGTGTCTTTCTTTTCGCAGTCTGAAACATCCTCATCAAGTTCAATACCATCTGTTCTCTTGTTTACTGCATGAAGCACACTGTACTTATTTGTATCTTTTAATTCGTCAGCTAGTTTCTCGTAAGCTGGTTCAGAGTCATCGACTTTTTCGATTTCTGAAATAAAATAGTGTTACTGATCTTTCTAAGAGAAGTTTAAGCTTAATTAAATACTTGTAGACATCTATAAAGATGTGTATATGCTTTGAAAGTAATCATTGACAAAGAATATATATTATAGTGAATTATAGTGGATTAGTACAGTACTGATTGTGATAAATATCTGCCACATGAAAACCACACTACAGAATTTCTTTTGTTGTATCAACTTTTACGATAACTATCATTTGACGGCTATGCAAGGGGTTAACGTAGAAAGATTGTTTCCTTAGTGACTTTCTGTCAGCAAGTCCGCAAGTTTAGCTAATAATCAAAAAGGGGATATCATATGATTGGTTGATACAGAATAAATTTAAGCTCAGTTGTGTAGGAAGGTTAAAGCTTAGAGACACACTCTTGAATCCGTTCCTGGAATCAACCATTTCTGAGCAATAAGCGTTTAGTTTCTTGCCCAAGGAAGCAACCGCTTGCAAATTGCTTCTGACGTGGCTTGAATCTATGCGGATTACCATCCCTAGATTACTGATCCGACGCGTTTATTATTTATCGTAATTTTTGTTTATCTTTTTTACTGGTTCATTTTCGAATGAGATCTTAAAGATATAACCAGAACTGTCTAACTAGTTATTCATAGGGCACATATGTTGACTATACATTTAAAATAGTGCAATAAGTACATATATAACAAAACAGTCTTCGTTTTATCTTAGTATTCCAAAGGATTATTTAGTTTTTGATTTTAGAAGATGTAAGTGATAGCGCCCTTTATGACTTTCCTGCTGACCTCAACTGTAAAGAGGTCATCTGCCAGTCATTACCAATTTAAACCAAATGATAAGACTGTAGGAAAAGTCTACAAGTAATCACCGGAATAGCTTTCTGTCGTCAATTCCACGGGGTCCTTGACCTTTGACCTCAAAGTCAACTGGGTCATATGCTAGTCAAACTAGGTTTTAAGAATGTAGTCACAACGTTTTGTATTGTTCGACCGGACCAGCATTAAGTCCTCAAGTCCATGGAAAAATTGACTGATGAAATTTTGGCCTACAAATTAATATCCGTTATCTAATAGTTCTGACCAACATCCACCAAATCATAAGTCTGTAGGCCAAACTGTTCCTTATTTGTTGGTCTTAGAAGCTTTTATTGGTTAAGAGCTATGGCGACATTGACCTATCAAATTTGATCTTTTGAAACGCATAAACGACATTTATAAGTGTTAAAAACTTATTATCACTTACTAGATGATTTATAAATTATAAGCCTTTATGTACTTGACTAAGATCGATACATTAATTTGTACTTTTAACCACATCTGGTCCGTATATAGCAAACCCGATATACGTACTTCTAAGCAAATAGCTAAAAGTACAAGTCATTACATCAGATTGAGTATAATTTAAAAAAAAGAGATTGTTAAACTACCAAAAAAATTATAGTCCAACTCGGCTAATTTCCTCAGGCAGTTTTCCTTCAGTCTGCAGAATAACACTTTTATTGTGTCTCCATTTGAAGACTAGCAACTCTCAGTATACCAAATGGACTGTTAAATCACCATGCCTGTTTATCAATTGTGCGGTTCTTAGACACAATATTAGTGTTAGTATTTCAAATACTTTTTTAGTTATGGTCGTTGCAAGATAAGCATGACGAAATTGTAAACACCTACGTATCATATGGCAGCAGATGCCATCTCTTGTCAAATGCATTTCTATTCACGTTCCTGTGAACTTTCCTCAAATAAAGTTGAAATTTACATTTTAATTTTTTTCTTAGTTATGATCTTGGTAAAAATGCAAGGAAAATTCAAAGGACAGCAGTTTTAATCGAATGAAGTTCAATTTACATAATATTGCACATCTTTTAAAATGAGATCAATCCTCTTATAGATTTTCAAATTTAGACATGACCGAACGAAATGCGCTGTAAGTAATGTAACCTACCCCATTTATAATGAAATGCAGCTACTGTTTATTTAACATTACATCAATTTATAATTGACAAGGTGTTTTCCACGTAAACTTAATATTGAAAAAAATGTTAATTTGCTGCCTTTCCCTTTTTAAAAATTTTGTCGGATCTTGTAATGAAAATACTTGAAATATTGGCTAGCTGCCTTTAAACATCTCTCAAAATATCTGACTGGCTTTCTAAAGTACACAATTTGATATATGGGTCGAAATGTCTTTCCTACTAGGGGTTTAAATGTCATGCAAGAATGGGTCTAGAACCAATGGAGTCTAGAAGTCATCTTAATATCCTAAGGGGTCGAGAACTCAAAAGTCAAATTTAAGATACTTCCCTTCTGCCTAAGTCAATTCCATTTTATTTGAGTTATAGCAACTGCTACTTCAATTAGAAAGAGAGTAGCGTGATAATGTATAAAAAGAAATTTGTGGTATATGTTCTTACCAGATTTGCATTTTTCATAAATAGGAATGTTCCTTTCCTGTGTATTCCTTTGAATCATGTCGTACTCTCTTTCTTGCTCATCCATTTCGCTTGCGCCACCTATGTAATGAAATGAACTCTGTCTTCATAAAACCTGTGATTTCCTAAATGTTTGATACAACCTTCATTTTTGAAAATAACATGTAAATGACAATTGTATGTCTTGAATTCTAATGAAAGAACTTTTTAATATTATATCATTCGCATGATAAAGTTTAAAATGAGAATGATGATCATTGGAATATGCGGCTTTGTAAAGATAAAACGTATTATCGGTCACCTGTCGCGAATTAATTCAACATCGTGACATTCATGTCTCTCCATTAATTTTAAAACGTCGTGACTGTTATTTCTAACTGTTTTAATCACAACTTTAAAACACGTTTTTAAGTGTCTGATAAACCAAATAATATGTTTGTGTTTATAGTGAAAAGAGTAAGATTACTGAAAATGATTCAGTATATGATACTTATTAAAATTTCATAATATATCTGGTTGTACTGAAAGATTAAAAACATCATAAATCAAATTAAGTACAAATGTAAATGAAACATGGATTAAACTTTATCTGTGTAATATGAATGCCATCAGTTAAAATGTAGAAGCAACACACAATTTCATTTTTTTCCAATATCTTTGTCATAACAAGCAATTTGTACCTGTAATATTTTGATACACGTTTGTTGTAGCCATTTCTCTTTCATTTTGCTGATTATGAAAGATTTCTCTTAAGACTGGACAAGTGCTAAAAGTATGCAAACAAATTAATACATAAAATTGCCTGTAATAAAAGTAAAAGATTTAACAAATGAGTGCAATATTTTGTCAAAGCTGACATATTGTATAAGTTTGTAAAAATCAAACGAAATGTTTTGGACATATAATCCCTTCAAAAGGATTAAGTGAGTACTTTGATTAATTATGTGTTAAAAGGCGGAATACGCCTCTTTTTTTTTTTTTTTTTTTTTTTTTTTTTTTTTTATATACATGTATATCAAAGCATACCGCAAGAAATTTGACATTTTTGTTTGCTTTCTGATTTTGTTAACATTTATATTGTTTATTTTATTGTTCATTGAATATATTTCGATTCAAATAGCATTACATTAAAAAGCATACACATTTCAATTTGTATGCCTTCACGAAATAATTTTACGAGCGTTTTATTTTCGAGCATATTTAAACAAACGGTCAATAATTATTCTTGTTTAACTTATTGTTCAATTAAATAAGACACGTTAACATGTTTCGCTCATATGCTATATGATTCAAATTTATTTTAAGAATTTTTGTATAATTATGCAATTTTGTTTCTTCTCATGTAATATATAGCATTTCCACTCCAAACACGGTCACACAATTGTCACACAACTATTATTTGTAAATTATTATTTGCTACTTAGTCAATGTGATCAAGACAACTACTCGCCATATGGGGGCGCCCGTGGTCGAGTGTTAAGGTCGCTGACTTCAAAACAATTGCCCCTCACCGCTGTGGGTTCGAATCCCGACATGGACTTTGGATTCTTTCAAGTAAGGAAGCTATCCAGATAGCTTACGGATGTCGGTGGTTCTACTCAGGTGCCAGTTCGTGCCTGAAATAATGAACGGAAGGGCACCTGAGGTCTTCTTTCACTAGTAAAGCTGGAACGTCGCCATATGACCTATACTGTGTCGGTGTGACGTAAAACGCCATTTTAAAATTAATGAGAAATCGAAAATAGATATCAACTTTTTGTTGCTAGATCTCTTATTATGTAAGAATACGACTTGAAGAAATTTTAAAATTAATGAGAAATCGAAAAAAGATATCAAACTTTTGTTGCTAGATCTCTTACTATGTAAAAATACGACTTGAAGAAATATACAGAAAAAGGTTTGTACATGATGACAGTGTCTCTTTCACATAAATATTTGATAAACAAAATTGTTCTTATGTATGACGAAAAAATAAATGTCAATTGTTTCAAAATAATTAAACAATGAAAGATCACATAAAAACATGGTGTAAAACAATAATGATGGAATAAAAATCTAATTACCCTTTTCTGTATAAAATTATGCCAACAACTGTAACGGAGATGGTAATGAGTACTATCACAGGGAGTCCAACGGTGAGTCCATAATTATTTGCTATGTTTTGAGGTTCAGGATTAGAGTATTCCATTCCTATAATCATTATAAAAGAAGAACATGTTTACAATAAATATCTCAAATGACTTTACAAAAACGCAAGTAAACAATACGATATATGTGAAAATGCACATTTTGTAATTATAATTGTCTTGCTGTGTTGTTTCTTGTTACATTTTTTGTTTGGTTTTACATCGCTTTAATACCGTGTAAAGCTCACACAATGACCTTACGTAAACTAAAGGAGAGAGGCTTTAGACACGAATTAGCATATTAAAAGAACTGCCGATATTTAATAAACTAGCTGGATTACATCATCGTATAACAGTATCCTCCTGACGACGGGATACGAATCCATAGTGGTATGACACAAGCGACGCTTATTACTCGGGCATGGACGCCAAGTCAATTGGTACAATGTGAACACACCACGGATGTTTCTTAATTCATAATTTCTCCATTTTCGTGTTAAATGTTGAATTCTACTTAAGCCGGTGCTAGGGGGCGTGGACGGTAACTTGCATTTTCCAATACCGTCCATGAACAAGCTCAATCAAACCGAGCCTGCAACATTTTCAATTTTGTCGTGTTGGGCTTTCTTTAGGGATTCTGTATTTCTCTATTCTATGCGATTTGGAGCATCATCTAACACCAAGTATTTTTGTACAACCTTCGAGTTAAAATATACCTGAAGGCTCCACGTAGAAAACATGTTCATACGTTCCATAATCATTCCTTGTTATAAGCTTGTATTTGCCATAGTCCTCTTCCGAAACACGAAGAATTGTGAATTGAATGTCAACACCTTTGTAGGTAAAACTATAGTTGTCGCTGTCATTCATAGGTATCCACGATTTTCCGTTATGTTTCTTCAATAAAATGTTGGTTGGTTCAGGATATGCTAGCACTGTGAAGTTTATACTCACGGCTTCATATTTTGATATTTTAATGTTTCTTTGTAATGGCATTGCAGGATTTTGTCTAGGTGAACCTAAAAGATTTTTATATAATTTTAAATACCGATCTTACAGGCCATGTCTTTTATAATTTTGACATTAAAACGTGATTGCAACCAAAAGAAGGGAGGAATTTAAAGAGGAGAAATGAAATCAAAGAGACGCGAAACAACATTTATATTTCATTCACTTTTGTTTATGTTACTCATATATGAAGATATTTTGTCATTCACTTAGCATAAGGTTTGTTCGTTTAAAATATAACACAACATAATGTTCAATCTTTTCTTCTTACGTTTAACTGAATTAACTAAATAACTCGACAGCAAATCACAGCTTTATAAAAAATAAATGATGACTGACCTACGGTTGAAGTATGGAAAATATAGGTAAAATACAAATCTGCCTAAATATAGAAATACTGCCCCACTCTTCAGAAATATTCTTCGGATATTACTTATATTCTGTTCTTCGATATATTAAGTATTTTCTTATTTAATTGCAAGTTGAAACCTTTTTATAATGGAGAATACTAAAAAAGGAAGACAGAAGGCGGGTGGTTAAAGATGAAGTGTGTCGTACTTAAACTCACATCTTAAAATATATAAATATTGTCCAAGGTATGCTGCTTTAAAAACACAAAGACTTTTTGTAATAAATTACCTTACATTCAATACTCACATGTAATGAATAGTGTAATATCTTTTTCAGAAATTTCTTTTTGTTTGATCAAATTGGAACCTCTGCATGTATATACTCCTGTATGAAAACATGTTGCTTTAAATGTTACAGAAAATATTGAATGACTTTCATTAGTAGACTTTGTTACATCAAGTGCTTCTGAACTGAAGATGTTACATCCCTTCAGGTGCTGGATTTCCCTCCATTTCACATTTCAGATTGACTAATTGATTCTCTGCTAATGTAACGCTGTGATTTGCCGTGTAGTTATTTGCTATAAAATTCAATACAGCAACTTTATCTGTAAAAGAAAGACGTAAGATTTTTGCAAATAGTGAAAATAGAAACATACAACGTAACAAATGTTACGTTTCTCCATTTGCATAATATATCCTTCTTAATTGCTTTAAGGCTAAGGCAAAAAAGTCAATTGTCAGCAAAATAAACTATTTTGAATTCAGATAACAGTCTGAGATATCTCACTCATAATTTTATATATCACCAAGAAATCATTAAGTTGAACATGAGATGCAGACATAGACACGGTAAGACTGGTAATCCAAACCGATAATCGTGTTTATACTTACACAATACGTTTAGATTGATACTTTTATTATTCTTCCCATGTTTTGTTAAACCGCCTGTCATTATCATGGTGTTGTTGACCGTACATGTATATGTCGCACTGTCTGTTCTTGAAACGTTTTCTAATGTAAATTTTGATCCCAGCCATTGTTGCCCATTTTTGTATCTTGTCCACATAATATGTGTCTGGTGAGGATTTCCGTCTTTAACAGGACATACAAAGTCGACATTTGTTCCTTCCTCCGAGGTTATACTATTCATATGTCCAATTTCTGGAGAAACTGAAATTTTGTTTAGAACACAAATGAAACCGACATATTACCACTTTCACAGCCGTTTACAGTCTGTTCAAAATTTTATTGTAAAGTTAATTTCTATAAAACCCGAATTAAAACTTCTATCCCACACATTGTAGTTTGAGTGGTTTTTTTTTACAATATGTCATCAAAATGATAAAATTTTGACCCCAGACTCATACATTTGCATGTAAGAAGGCTTATCTGACAGAAAAAAAAAACATCTAATTAAAGTATTTGCAATGTATATGCTGCTGTATTTCAAATCGTTGCAACGATTTATTTTGTAGATAGTGACTTAAAGTATAAAAAGGATCCGTTAACTTTTTGCAGGTTGATCAGTTGGTTGCGCAAAGAACAATTATGCGATTACTGCACAATATATCATCATAAAATTATGTCTATAAAAAGTGACAAAAAGAACATACATACATGTTAACGGATGTGATAATAAGGATGTTTATATCTGAGCCAATTAAATTATAACAAACGTTAGGTCACAGTAATTGAATGGAAACTTTAAATTTCACTTCTATGCATTTTAATTACTTTAAACCAATATATTGATTCTTTCAAGAACCGTTGATGTGGGAGAGCAGCGTTAAAACATGGTATGTGATTAGTTATAATTATATTAAAAATCTTCCTTATTTATAGATATTTTTATAATGAGATATATCTGTTTTAGTAAAAATTGTTATTCATTTTTGTGATAGTTTAAATTATGAAAGCTTATTTAATAAATCGCACATGTCTTGACTGTATATTTAGACTTTGACTTATCGTTCACTATAAACAAATATAATACGATCAATCATATCAGAATTTAAAACAAGAGGGCCATGATGGCCCTAGATCGCTCACCTGACTTATCAAACTCATCCAAACAATACCCTAGACAAGTATTCTGACCAAGTCTCATGACAGGTGCGTCAAAAATGTGACCACTACAGTATTAACAAGGATTATCCATATTTGAGCAGTGCGACCTAGTTTTTTACCCAGGTGACACATATTCAAACTTGACCTAGAAATCATCAAAACAAACTTTCAGACCAATTTCCAGGATACTTGGATCAAAACAGTAGCAACTAGAGTGTTAACAAGATTTTTCTATTTTTAGCTCCGATGACAAGCATCCTGACCAAGTTTGATGATAATTGAGTCGAAAATGTGACCACTAGAATGTTAACAAGGTTTTTCCATATTTGGGCGGTGTGACCTAGTTTTTCATCCAAGATGACCCATGTTCGATCTTGACTTAGAAATCATCAAAACAAACTTTCAGACCAATTAACGGAATATTTGGATCACAACAGTAGCCACTAGAGTGTTAACAAGATTTTTCTATTTTTAGCTCCTGTGACCTAGTTTTTCATCCGAGATGTCCCATGTTCGATTTATTCCCAGCAACGACCTAGACAAGTTTCCTGACCAAGTTTAATGACAATTGAGTCAAAATTGTGACCACTAGAGTGTTAACAAGGTTTTACTATTTTTAGCTCTGGTGACCTACTTTTTTATCCGAGATGACCCATGTTCGAACTCATCAGAGCTATCACCTAGACAAGCATCTTGATCAAGTTTGATGATGATTGATGCAAAATGTGACCGCTAGAGTGTTAACAAGGTTTTTCTATTTTTAGCTCCGGTGACCTACTTTTTCATCCGAGATGACCCATGTTCAAACTCATCCGAGCTGTCACCTAGACAAACATCTTGACAAAGTTTGATGATGACTGATGCAAAAATGTGACCACTAGAGTGTTAACAAGGTTTTTCTATTTCTAGCTCCGGTGACCTACTTTTTCATCCAAGATGACCCATGTTCAAACTCATCCGAGCTATCACCTAGACAAGCATCTTGACCAAGTTTGATGATGATTGATGCAACAATGTGACCGCTAGAGTGTTCACAAGGTTTTTCTATTTTTAGCTCCGGTGACCTACTTTTTCATCCGAGATAACCCATGTTCGAACTCATCCAAGCTATCAACTAGATAAGCATCCTGACCAAGTTTGATGATGATTGATGCAAAAATGTGACCGCTAGAGTGTTAACAAGGTTTTTCTATTTATAGCTCCGGTGACCTAGTTTTTCATCCGAGATGACCCATATTCGAACTCATCCGAGCTATTATCTAAACAAGCATCCTGACAAAGTTTGATGATGATTGGGTCAAAAATGTGACCACTAGAGTGTTCACAAGGTTTTTTCTATTTTTAGCTTCTGTGACCTAGTTTTTCATCAAAGATGACCCATGTTCGAACTCATCCAAGCAATTGACTAGACAAGCAATCTGACCAAGTTTGATGAAGATTGGTTCAAAAATGTGACCGCTAGAGTGTTAACAAGGTTTTTCTATTTATAGCTCCGGTGACCTAGTTTTTCATCCGAGATGACCCATATTCGAACTCATCCGAGCTATTATCAAAACAAGCATCCTGACAAAGTTTGATGATGATTGGGTCAAAAATGTGACCACTAGAGTGTTCACACGGTTTTTCTATTTTTAGCTCCTGTGACTTAGTTTTTCATCAGAGATGACCCATGTTCAAACTCATCCAAGCAATTGACTAGACAAGCAATCTGACCAAGTTTGATGAAGATTGGTTCAAAAATGGGACCACTAGAGTGTTCACAAGGTTTTTCTATTTTTAGCTCCGGTGACCTACTTTTTCATCCGAGATGACCCATGTTCGAACTCATCCGAGCTATAACCTAGACAAACATCCTGACCAAGGTTGATGATGATTGGGTCAAAAATGTGACCTCTAGAGTGTTCACAAGGTTTTTCTATTTTTAGCTCTTGTGACCTAGTTTTTCATCCGAGAGGAGCCATGTTCGAACTCATCCGAGCTTTCATCTAGATAAGCATCCTGACCAAGTTTGATGATGATTGAGGCAAAAATGCGACCGCTAGAGTGTTCACAAGCAATTGTGGACGTACGACGGACGACGGACGGACGGACGACGGACATTCACCGATCCTAAAAGCTCACCTGAGCAAAAAAAATCAAGAAAATTTGTCGAAAATAAAAACAATAAGTATGTAATGTTACATAGTTTTTCTATCGAGATTGTTCTATTGTTGTTCCCTGTCATTGAATTCCCTTCAGTTGAAATCATTTTATTTCTGACAAAGCACGTGATTTCATCTGTGCCGTTCCTTGTTAAGCCAGGAATTTGTATAACTGAATCATTTGACATCGTCATTGGATCCCATGAATAACTTGGCATAGGTAAGCTATTGGCTTTGCATGACATAGTAAAAGGAGTATGTTCAAAAACAATAAACTTGTCTGTGACTTTTATATTTACATCATCTGATTTTGAAACGGAGACAAGAAATATTGTCGGCTTGTCTGGAGGATCTGTTGGTAAAAGAAAGTCATTGATATAGTAATACAATTTATAATCAATAAATATTTTTCAATCAAGAAACTTAGTCAAAGTTCCATTATTATAGTATAAAATGTATTACGTATTAACATTTCTATGTGTTTGCGTCTTTGAAAACTAGAAACAGCCTACTTTATCTATTTAAATATTTGAGATATATAGCTGTATTATTTCCGCGAAACAATAAATAACTTGGATTTTTCTAAAATGACGTATTTATTACAGGATTGTTTTGAAATACCTGATACCTGAAATTATTTAAAATATGTGTCCGTTTTATCAAAAAATCGTTATATTGAGAAGTAAAATTTTAGACAAAGTGTCCAATGTTTGTGTCGAGAGAGAGAACAGTTTTCATAATTGTTTTAAATTAGATAGGATAACTTAGTCTTTTTTACTCGTACAATCTTGATAACTGCTGTTTTTGGTTCTTTTTTCTCTAATGGTTTGCCTATAGATTATTTTTGTCTTTATCAATAAATAGAGTAAGATACATACACAATACTGTCATATGAACGTCCTTGCTTGCTGTTCCAATTCGTTTTATGTTTCCAGTCATAACCATTGTGTTATTTGCATTACATGTATATATCATACTATCGTTCCGGGAAACTTTATCAATCGTTAACAACTTTTTAAATCAGCGCATGTTATCTAACTCTCTCGTCCATGAAACACTGGTAAGAATTGGATTACCACGTGTAATTGGACAGTTCATCTCAACTCCTAACCCCTCTATCACTCGTTTATCAACCATTGAATGTATCGTCGGTGGATCTAAATAAAAAAGAAAACAGTTTAAATAAAAATATCAAAAATAAACAAACACGGTTTCTATCAAACGACACTTATGACTAGAGTAACGTTTAGACTTGCACAGTATTTTAATATTAGTCTTAATGATTAACACAGTATTAGATTAAACTAAAGTTGTTTATCTAATTAGTTTCTAGAACGGTATAAAGAAAACTGTTATTAAATAATGTCTTTATAATTTATGTATTTAACATTTAATACATTTAAATGTATAAGCAATTCTTATTTTACACAGAATTTCCACATTCACACTTCTGTTGACGTTCACTCTTTCTTGTATTTGATTAGTGAAATTCATAGCGTTTGTTGCATGACAAGTTTCCGTATAGTTCCGTCGTGTTTGTGGGTTTACTATCACGATAGTTGAAACGGTTGAATTTTCCAATCCCGTCCATTTATATGATGGTTCCGGATTGCTGCTTGCTTCACATATTAATGTAAAAGTTTCATTTTCTATGACGTAAATAGTTGTGTTAACTGAGATGAGATTGGTAAGTTCAGAATGCTCAAATTTGATGCTGTCAATACTCGGCGGGTATTTAAAAGATAAAAAGGCAAGATTTGGGCGTGAATTGTAATAAATTAGTACTCTTGTAAATGAGAAATGATCTAGAAAATACCACAATAGCTCACAGTGAGTGAGCTCAAGTGAGATAAAATAGAAAACAATCCAAATTTAGTTTATTTAGGGTGAAAAGCAAGTGTTACGAATCAAATAAAGTGTTTACAATTGGACTTTATTTAAAGACACTCTATCTGGACGAGCCATATAGCTAGATGAAATACATTTGACATGCCATTATTTATAATTCATATACTTTAGTGTTTCAAGCTTCGAGTGAATCCATTTATATCCTGTAATGTACAGTACAGTATTACACAATCAATTTTTCCTTACGAAAATTAATACTTAAAAACGTAAGTGACTAAAATGATATATACCTATTAGAAGGTCAGCTTATTTCAGGTTTCATTTCGCTACACGCCTTAAAGATACCTTTAGTGTGATAACATTTTATTGCAACTAAACAAATGTACTTATAAGTATACTGCAAATGGATTGGGATACAAGTTATAACAACATTAGCAGCTACCCTTTCCACGGACCTAAAAGATACATTTGAAATTTCAAATTCAGGAAAATAATTAAAGGGATATTCAGGCAAAATAATGTCAAAAATATTAAAATGATCTAATGTACGCAAATCAAGCTAAAATGTCTTTTCTTGAAGTTTCAGCATGAATTTCTGTTTAAATTGTATATATTTTGGGTTTGAAGCATAAATACATCTATGTATGTTGAACAAAATTTAGACGCAAATAGAATCACCAAATAGTTTGAAACAAGTCAGGTGACTTGAACAAACACTTGAAGTTACAATAACAGATATTCTGGATATTGTGTGATTGAAACAAGCCTAAGTCATTCACTTGACATTTGCTTAACGTTTCCAGAGTTCACTTTGACAACTTTTGTGAAATGCAAGCGCTCTAACCTGACCCACGTGGGTCAAGTTAGGAAACCACCATTTTATTCTTTATAAGTTTTGTTCCGTTGACTGTCTAATATATTTATTTTGAGGGCATTTACAGAATAATGAATGAAAAATTCAAAACTAAGAAATGAAAATTTTGCCTGTGTCTCCCTTTAATTGGACTTTGGACAATTTAAAAATGAAATCCAAAATTAAAAATTAGTTATCATTATTAATGATATTGTTTTCGATTGTGCCCAAATGTAATGTTGCATGGTTTTATCTTTAACAAGGGGCAGGACGTGAAGTGGTTGCACACTTGGTTCAAGCGAGCGAATTAGTTGCAAACTTGACAAAATGGCGAACACGGCGTGATTTTTTGAATAGGGTGAACGAATTTTTGACAGGCAAGTGGGTTTCTCTGTTATTTTGAAGTTCATTAGTATGTCTATTCCATAATGCAATATATATGCCACACTCGGTTAAAGGTTTCAGCATCCTAGATTCTGATTTGACGAAGTTATTGAATATATAAACTGATCATGTAGATATTTTGAAATTTGACATGTGACTGTTCTGGTCATTTTTTCTCCTAATTCGCTCGCTTGAACCAAGTGTGCAACCACTTCACGCCCTGCCCCTTGTTTAAGTTAATTGTTATTTTTTCCTCTTTACCAAAATAAATGTAGATTATAGCTACTTACACAATACTTTCAGGAGTGTGCTCTTGCTTGATGACCCAATTCTGTTGATGTTTCCTGTCATAACCATTGTGTTATTTGCCATGCATGTATAAGTCATTGTATCGTTTCGAGAAACTTTATGAATCGTAAACGATTCATTAAACCAGCGTTTATTATCCAATGCCCTTGTCCACTTGAAATTCGTTGCAGCTGGATTTCCAGGAGTTATTGGACATGTTAACTGTACAGCCGTCCCTTCTTTAACTCGTTTTTCAAGCATTGTATTAACTTTAGGTGGATCTAAAAAGCATACACAAAAATTAAATAAACAAGGTCGAGCTATGATACAATTTCCAATGAAAATTGCAAAATGTTCTGTTATTTAGAGTCGTTTCCAAAATTCCTAGAACAATGTTTTCATTAAAGCATGTTGAAATCACTTATCAATTGTACATAATTTACTAAATAATTACTTTACTGGCAGTTTTATTTATCTACATATCATTTCATTTTATCCGAAACACATTGAGTTTCAAATGGCGTATTGTAAACTGAGTTGATTAGTAGCTACGTATAAAATTGCTTTATCGTGTGTCTTGTGTTAAATATGCTGATCCCAATACTATTTTAGATATTGAAAGTATATTACAAAGAATCTCCACATTCAAACGTCTGCTAACGGTTACTGTCTCTTGTCCGGTATCAGAAATGTGCATGACGTTTGTTGCCAAACATGTTTCCGAATAGTTCTGTCGTGTTTGTGGGTTAACTATGACGACGGTTGACACATTTGAATATTTTAACCCTGCCCATTTATAGGATGGTTCTGGTTTGCTGTTTGCTTCACATACCAATGTGTAAGTTTCATTTTCTATGACACGTATTGTGTTTTTAACTGCGGTACGTTGATTAAGGTTGGTGTGCTCAAATTTGATGCTTTCAATCGTAGGCGGGTCTTAAAGAGAAAAAATATACAAAGTAGATGCACGCTTTAACAAGATATACCAAGTAATTATTATGATATCGGTTATTTTGTTTTATTAAGCAGTAACTTTTTGAACTTGTTTTTTTTGTGTCTTTTAACACATTTTAATACCTCTCTATTTATTATATAATACTTCAATAGTCGGACTCAGTAGCATGAAATAAAAACTGTTTTACTGGGTTGTTTATGAACGTAAATAGCCTTATTAGTTCGGCGTTAACGGCTTACAGACTAGTTCCTTAACCGCTTTGCGCGCTTTTTTTCGTCCTAGTTTTAAACTGATACGCCTGACAGTCTTATGGACGGAAACTCTACCGGCAACACTTCCAATAATTTGAACATTTTCAAAAACTCAATAGGTATAATTGTTTGTATTGCATTCCAAACATTATAAAATGTTAACTCTCTTAACACATACAAGCAATTCTTTGGCGGACACGTAATGCCGTTATCATCAAATGATTAATGACGTAAATGTGTAGTAGCTACCAGTGTGTATAATTGATAAGAAATAGTTGCGCATTGAAATTTATTTTTCTATAAATTTCGGCAAAATAAATGTATGCATTATTTTTAATAGATTCATGTTTAATAAGTAACGATTAAATAGTACCGATTAGCCAAGCCTAAAATGCAGTAGTTCAAATACGTTTAGAAAATACCGTAGAAATTATATAAAAAATATTTCGATTGCATTTGTATGGTGTTTGTTTTATTCAAACTATAGCAATTGGTGTTTTGCCATTTATTTTGCTGCTTATGGTTGTTGCTGTTGTCCTTCTTGTATAAAAAGTACGTAATTTTTGCGATCTGGCCACATGCCGTTGACACTATGATAGAATGATCACAATTGATGTAATAAATGTCGTCAATAATTCCCCATGCTGTTACATTTTTTATTTGAATGTGTGTCAGGTCCCTTTACAGCGGACTTTATAACTATAGAAATAGCAAACAGTATATTGCTAATTAAATTCTAATATTTAACTTGATTTCTATTCTGAAGTCTGTTCAAGGATTATCCAAAAGTCCTTTCGGACTGGTTGCTGTCGGAGGTTGCGTTCTATCTTATCATTTCAAAGACCATAATTCCTCTCGTGAGCTTTAGTTAGTAGTTATAAATAACATATTGAAAACCCTGTCCATCATGGCAGCGTGTACAATATTTGTTACTGACATGTATAACCATCTTCGTCACTATCAAGGTTTTTTAATCAGTAAATGTTGTTTTATTAACCGTGCAAATTAAAAGACATTAGGACAGCGTTTCGTATTTTCATTTATCGCAAAGCACTTGCGCTGGAAGAAATAGGGAAAAATTGTTGTAATAATTATGAAAAAAAGACAAAAAGAAGATAGTTTGTTAACCGAAAACAGCTAAAAATAAAAGTAAATGTATAATAAAGCTTGACAATGCAATAGGTAGTCGCCGACAATGTGTAACTATACGGACAATGGTAACCAATGCACCGACAAAATCAGCTAAAAATAAAAGTAAATGAATAATAAAGCTTGACAATGCAATAGGTAGTCGCCGACAATGTGTAACTATACGGACAATGTTAACCAATACACCGACAATGTCGTTTTTTCTCACTATTGGATAGTTGCCGCTAATAAAGAATTTTACCGGTGTGAAAAATATAGATTGAATATTTTTAATATTTTTTACTTTAGTGTGACGTCATCACTTTTATACAATGTAACCATAAGGATGAGCTATTTATAGCTACTGTTACTTAAAAATAAGTATATTTTATTTTATTTTATTCATATTTTATTTAAAATATTTTAAATATATAAGAATAAATTGGTACGACGGAAACGCAACGGCCGCTGTGGTGTTATGGTTAGCATACTGGACGACCCGTGGTTCGAGTCCGGGCTGCAGCGTGCATATCGATTGTTAGTGTGATTTTTTAGTATACTTTCTCGCTAATGAATTTCTTTCTTATATATAAGGTAATATTGGCATTTCTTCCTAACTTTGCTAGTTGATTTCACACAAACATCTATCTGTGCACCGTCCGTGTAGAACAATGCTGTTCGGACTTGGAAAAAGACATCGCCGTTCAAAATTATTTCGATGCCTGTTTGACAAGTCTTATGAATTCAACTAGAATGTATAATAACAAATAACAGATGTTATAGTCTGATTTTATTGACCTGTCAATTATGAATACATTATAGTGCTAAATTGAATATCCGTTCCCATTTCAATCTTTTCCGCCGAGTTTATGAGGATTAATGTTTTTTATATAGGGAATGTTTTGAAAAAGTAATACTAGCGTCATGTATAGGTTGTTGTCTCATCCGCGTTAAGGGATAACTTAAAGTTATATTCCCATTGAACGATGATATTTTACCTTACATCTTAGTTTTCATAAATTTTCACCTAAATCATAAGTATATCCTCATTTATGTGATGAATTACTGCTATACAATTTCAATCTTATTTCGCCGAAACACTCGGATGCAACTGACTTTAATATCACCATGATTCGAAATCCTCGCCATTTGTAAAAGCTCTCGGGGCCGATCGGATTCATTCGGAATTAACTCATTTGCATACGGAAAAGTTCGGAAATGCTATAATTAGAAACATGTCTGATAATGCTATAATCAGAACGTCGACAAAGTTGCGACACTTCAATAGTTATTCGATTGTATGAGATGTAATATGAATAGCCGATGCAATTTCATGTTTGTAATAAATAAACGATATGAAAAGCTGTTTATTAGCTAATGAGTATAGCTTTTATCCTCCCATTTTGACTAAGAACGCTTGTTTGGAAGTTTGTTACGAAACTATCGAAAACAGAACAAAGTATTGAGACTCTCACTAGATCTGCTGTTTTGTAAACCAGAAAATAAACATTCTAATTAATAAAATTACCAATGCTTTATGTCGTACGGGCGTTGCTGTTGTAAATTCAAAATAAGTGTTGAAACCAGGGAATTACAGAGGTGTTCTAGGCCGTCCGTTCGTTATAACCGGTTCATACCAGAAATAAACGTACCTGGCTAAGCTTCCTTAGTTTTTGTATCGAAATAATATAATTAACATAATCAAGCATATGATATCTGATATAATGAAAAGAAAAATAATTTGGCAAGCTGCTGTACAGGAATAAACTTGAGGGTGTCATCAGATTAAATAACCAGACAACCAAAGCCAATACAGACTCCACCGAATGCTATATGATAATGTATATACTTTAATTTAATTAGCAAATAAGACACTGGAAAAGGACCAAGTTATAGTTCAGAATCTAACCTTCAGATGCCTAAAATTTGAAAATGATCACTCAATACCTGATTTTTATAACAGCCTTTTGTTAAAGTGCTCATTATTGAGAATAATGTACTTGAATTTCAATCCAATACAAACACAGTGCAGCCTCTGATAAGTATTAATATGTTTACAATGAACAGTTACATTCCACTGAAAATAAGATTGCCAAGAATTAAATCCCAAACTCTGGTAAGTCATATTTATGACACAGAACCACAACAGCATACACAAGTGTTTTTTTCCTTGTGTGTAAGAATTATGAATTGTGAATTGAATCAGATGGAAAATTGTTTTCTTCATCAGGTTTTTATGTTTTTTTTTACTAATGATAAAAAAGTTTGTGTTTTCACAAGTTAACTTGTTAACTATCCCCTATAATATTGCAAAAATCTACTCCCATTTGAAATTTGCTTCTCGCATTGCTATTCAGTGCAAAGCTTGGCCTTTAACATATCCAAAGTATCCACTCTTAAATATTTAGATCAGTGCACTCACTGCAGAGATTGTGCTATAACTGTTTATCAAATCTATAAAGCAAACTAAATATTTTAAATGCGGATGATTCTAAATTCCAAATTTCACCACTTAATGTTCAAATGTTAAATTCCGCTTAAGTCAGTGCCGGGGGGGGGGGCGCATGGAAGGTACCTTTTTATATTCAGAATAAGATCACAGATTGTAACAATGTTTTACAAATACTTTTTAATGTTAATTTACACTCCACTTCTCTTAGCAAGTTTCAGGACACATTTTAGAGTGTTGTTAAAATAACAAAAACACAGATAAATTGAAAAATGTATTTGAACATTGGCAGTAAAACAATAACATATTTTCAAATGAACAGCAGATCGTACTCTCAAAATTGTACACCAGTGACTTCTTTACAGTCATAGAATAATCCATGTTGTCTTGTGTGAAGATGGACAATATTGTAGAAGAAAATAAATGATAATTCCAACAAAATTGTATTAACTTGTGCCTACCTCTTATCAGGTTCTGATGTATGAAAAACCATTGTGACCTTTGACCTAATTACCTTTATGCTAATGCTCAATTACTAGTAAGAAAATATGATAAACAAGATCATCAAGGAAAGGTGGCGTTCAATGAACTCAGCCCCCAACCGACCCATGTCCATGTCTTGGGACAGTGAGTTTACATGTCACTGAGACATTGAACTTATAATCAAATAACCTCATCTTAAAACTAATGACAATCAGCATTTTTCCTTCTAAGTTACATAAACCATACCAGTTACAATGTTACAGATATTTAAAGGCAGTTAAACTTAATGCCGTCCTGAGCTTTGACCTAATTACCTCAAAATCAGTAGGTGTAATTGACTAGGGAAGGGCAATGTCTCTACCAAACCTAAAAAACTTGGCCTTACGCCTGCATTAAAATATTGTTTATTTCCCCCTCCCACTACCTACTCCTACCTAAAATATCTTATTGCCAATGAGTTTTCTTACATGGAAGCAGAGAGTTTCAATGAGAATCACATCTTCTTATCTGCCTCATGGTATTTTAATTGTAAATATACAAATGTTTGGATAATTGTTGAATGACACTGAAAACTTTTTTCTAATTTTTAAAGTAAAACAGATGCTATCATGCTAAACATTCACAATTTGTTTAAACTACATATAATTTTGATGGGAAAAAAATGGATAAA